ATTAATTAAACATATATAGTTGCAACTACTTTAATGCCTTCAACAATATATATCAAAGACACAATTAAACAACTCAGCATAGATGTATAACAAACACATAGGCCCTGTTTGGTAAAATATTGGCCTACAGGTCAATTTTGACTTATTTGACCACTATTAATTGTTTGATTTAGTTAAAATATCAATATAAGTGTTTTGTTAATTAGCTTTTTGCAACTCCAAAATGCTAAAATTCAAAAAACTACTTCAAGCAACTTTTTCAATTAGCTTTTTCAAAAAAGAAATTATACCAAAGCTATCAGCTAACAGTTAATTTACCAAACACTTTTCTACAACATCTAATGTTATCAACTAGTTATAACCTCTAATTAACACAATCAGCTAACGGCTAACAGCCATTTACCAAATAGGGTCATAATAAAACCACTCACCACATAGATGCCATTACTTTATTATTATAGTTTAATGAAATATTTCTAAAGATATATATATATATATATATATATATATATATATATATATATATATATATATATATATATATATATTAAATTTGAAAAATTAATACTTAAAAAAATATTTTTAAAAAAATGGTTAAATAAGCCTTAAACTTTATACCAAAAAAAATAATAATAAAAAAATCAGTCCCTTAAACTTTAAAAAGTAACAATTAAATACTTAAAGTCAATGAAACAATGCAATCAAGTCCTTTTTATCGGTAACCAACTAGTAAAAAACGATACCATGTCATTTTTTATAAGGAAGAAGGCGATCGACAATGTCCTTTTTCCTCAACCTAAAGAAGACAATAAATTATTAGTAATGCGCTTCAAAGAAGATATTCTTAGTGTTGTGAGATAGACCATGATGTGTTACATTGCCAGTGCCTATAAAGTACGGTCTTGCCTCTCCGAGAGGCCGAGATTATCCCTCCCATGCAATCCATAAAAAGAGAGAAGATTTTAACAGGTGGAATAATAAAAACTATATGTATCACTACAACAAACTGACTATTTAGCGACATATACATAGCGGCGATTATACATAACCACCTCTAAATGACTTTTTTGAGACGGTTATAGAAATGATTGCACTTAATATTTCAAATGATTGAGAGACATATTGGTCATTTCATAGAGTTTTCTCAAATTCCATTCACTAAATCTTCATATATGTTGATTCTCTCCATTATTTGTAATGAAAAATTATTAGTTTTATATTAATTATTCCTACAAAATCTCTCTTCCCAATAAAATATATTGATTTATACTTTCTCATTCGTACAATAATTCTGGGTAAAAATTCTATTCTAAAATAATAAAATAGTGTAATACAATTCCAATTGCAACCTATACTTCTATACTATATATAAAAACAAAATCCTGAAATTTTAACTTCCCGTCCAATTACTACAAAATCTCTCTTCCCAATAAAATATATTGATTTATACTTTCCTATTCGTACAATAATTCTGGGTAAAAATTCTATTCTAAAATTATAAAATGGTGTAATACAATTCATATTGCAATCTATACTATAAATAAAAACAAAATCCTGAAATTTTAACTTCCCGCTCAATTCCTACAAAATCTCTCTTTCCAATAAAATATATTAATTTCTACTTTCCCAATCGTACAATAATTCTCACTAAAAATTCTATTCTAAAATTATTCTTCCAAAGTTATAGTGTAATTATAATTCTCAGTAAAATTATAAAATAGTGTAATACAATTCCAATTGCAATCTATCTATACTATATATAAAAACAAAATCCTGAAATTTTAACTTCCCGCCCAATTCCTACAAAATCTCTCTTCCCAATAAAATATATTGATTTCTAATTTCCCATTCGTATAATAATTCTGGGTAAAAATTCTATTCTAAAATTATAAAATAGTGTAATACAATTCCTATTGCAATCTATACTCTATACTATATATAAAAACAAACTCCTGAAATTTTAACTTCCCGCCCAATTCCTACAAAATCTCTCTTCCCAATAAAATATATTGATTTCTACTTTCCCATTCGTATAATAATTCTAGGTAAAAATTCTATTCTAAAATTATAAAATAGTGTAATACAACTCCTATTGCAATCTATACTCTATACTATATATAAAAACAAACTCCTGAAATTTTAACTTCCCGCCCAATTCCTACAAAATCTCTCTTCCTATTAAAATATATTGATTTATACTTTCCCATTCGTACAATAATTCTAGGTAAAAATTCTATTCTAAAATTATAAAATAGTGTAATACAATTCATATTGAAATCTATACTATCTATATCTATACTATATATAAAAACAAAATACTGAAATTTTAACTTTCCGCCCAATTCTACAAAATCTCTCTTCCCAATAAAATGTATTGATGTCTACATTCCCAATCTTACAATAATTCTGGGTAAAAATTCTATTCTAAAATTATAAAAGAGTGTAATACAATTCCAATTATAATCTATATCTATACTATCTATCTATACTATATATAAAAACAAAATCTTGAAATTTTAACTTCCCGCCCAATTCCTACAAAATCTCTCTTCCCAATAAAATGTATTGATTTCTACTTTCCCAATCGTACAATAAATCTGGGTAAAAATTCTATTCTAAAATTATAAAAGAGTGTAATACAATTCCAATTGCAATCTATATCTATTCTATATATAAAAACAAAATCTTGAAATTTTAACTTCTTGCCCAATTTCTACAAAATCTCTCTTCCCAATAAAATATATTTATTTCTACTTTCTCATTCGTACAATAATTCTTGGTAAAAATTTTATTCTAAAATTATAAAATAGTGTAATACAATTCCTATTGCAATCTATATCTATACTATATATAAAAACAAAATTCTGAAATTTTAACTTTCCGCCCAATTTCTACAAAATCTCTCTTCCCAATAAAATATATTTATTTCTACTTTCTCATTCGTACAATAATTCTGGGTAAAAATTTTATTCTAAAATTATAAAATATTGTAATACAATTCCTATTGAAATCTATACTATATATACTATATATAAAAACAAAATCCTGAAATTTTAACTTCCCGCCCAATTCCTACAAAATCTCTATTCCCAATATCTCTCTTCCCAATAAAATATATTGATTTATAATTTCTCATTCGTACAATAATTCTGGGTAAAAATTCTATTCTAAAATTATAAAATAGTGTAATACAATTTCTATTGCAATCTATACTATATATAAAAACAAAATCCTGAAATTTTAACTTTCCACCCAATTCCTACAAAATCGCTATTCCCAATATCTCTCTTCCCAATAAAATATATTGATTTATAATTTCCCATTCGTACAATAATTCTGGGTAAAAATTCTATTCTAAAATTATAAAATAGTGTAATACAATTTCTATTGCAATCTATACTATATATAAAAACAAAATCTTGAAATTTTAACTTTCCGCCCAATTCCTACAAAATCTCTCTTCCCAATAAAATATATTGATTTCTACTTTCACATTCGTACAATAATTCTAGGTAAAAATTCTATTATAATATTATAAAATAGTGTAATAAAATTCCTATTGCAATCTATACTATATATAAAAACAAAATCACGAAATTTTAACTTTCCGCCCAATTCCTACAAAATCTTTCTTCCCAATAAAATAAATATATTGATTTCTGCTTTCCCATTCGTGTAATACTATATATAAAAACAAAATCCTGAAATTTTAACTTTCCGCCCAATTCCTACAAAATCTCTCTTCCCAATAAAATATATTGATTTCTACTTTTCCATTCTAAAAATTCTATTCTAATGTTATTATAAAATAGTGTAATACAATTCCTATTGTAATTTTAACTTCCCGTCAATTCTATTCTTTTAAGTTGTAAATTGTCAAAAGTTCGGTAAGGCATAACTTTTGACTCGGTTGTCCGTTTTGGACAAATATTTTTTGAAATCACGTATTTTTTTGAGATCTATCCACCGCGAACTGCCGTAGGCGGTTTGGCCCACCAATTTCTAAAAAATACTTTATTAAATAGTTTTTAAGAAAAAACTATGAGAACCTTATGTTTTATTAATGAATTTTTAAATTTTTTAATTAAAAAATTATCCCGTGCATTATTTCATAATCTCTCATTATAATTGGTCAAATTATTTAATTATGGTAAATTAAGGAATAATTATTGATGGTAATAGAAATCCGAAGAATATTTTTTTGAAAATTATATGTTGCCTCATTAAAAATAGGCCAAAATAATGTCTGGTGGGAGCAGATCCCAATACATAGCAGCAGATTGCTGGTAAGCCGTAGTAGCTAAAGCATTAGCTAAATAGTTATCTAATCTAGGAATTAAATGGAACGAACAAGACTGAAACAAAGGTGCAATAAGTTTGCAGCTATCAATGGCATAGCCTAGATATGTGCGCAACACAACGGTTGGTGTAGTAAGATAGTGGTGTAGTGTCAAACAGTCTGTATATACCTCGACATTCTGTTCTCCCCGATCCTTCAACCATGATAGAGCCTCTTTACATGCGAGCGCCTCGGCCATAAGTGGCGAGGAGTAAGCGACCTCTGGTGAAATTAACTCTTAAATAATTATATATCGATTAAATATTCTTAATATATTACAACAATTTCATTCCGTGAATCGCACGAGTGAAAATACTAGTTTAAAAAAAAATTATCTGGTGAAATAGTATGCAAAAACTATATGTATAGACATTGTAAATAATAAAAATAGGGTTGGGGTTCAGCCTTTTGGAAGATTGTAAATAATAAAAATAAAATTATTAGTTTCCTTTAAAAAAAAAAAAAAAATACTATGGAGTATTAACTACCACAATAAAAATTTACAAAGTTCCACTTTAGAACGAAGAAATGGTTGTTTGTGGTTTCCTAGTTTCCTAAGAATCCTTTTCCTAAACATAAACAATATAATCTCAGATCAGATCTGCTTCAATAAATATGTATAATTCCTTCCAACCGCACCGCGTCTTCCGTTTGCACTACAATGTCGAAAGAAAAGCAGAGGAGGGTATCCGATGCATCACCGTCGCTGCCGGAAGAGATGGTCGCCGAGATCCTGAGCTGGTTGCCGGTGGAATCAGTACTGAGATTCAAGTGCGCCTGCAAGAAGTGGGGCCAACTCATACAGCAAGATCACTTCGTCGAAAAGCATCACCGCCGCGCCGCTATGGCTTGCTACTATCAAAAAGAATACATAAATCAGTTTTGTTCGGAATTCTCCTGTATTGATATACAGGAAGGGTTACTGTTAGAGCAGGAGGATCATCGTCTAGATCCCCCGGGAAGGTTTCGCATAAGGAATCCGGCGACCATGCAAACGGTATACTTGCCGGATCTCCAGGTCGGCGATGAATCGCCAGCTTGGGTAGTGGCCAGAATGTTCTTCGTCGCAAAAAGTATTAACGAATGCAAGGTGATAAGTTTCTGGGAGGAGTCGGAAGGATCAGTTTTGTCGGGAAGATTTAGAGCACTAACTGTGGGCGTTGATGCAGAGTGGAGACCTCTCAAGAATTCCCCACCCAACCCCATACACCGCATTAGCAACTCCGACCGGAAGCCGATGGTTTTCCCTCTGAGTATTCAAAAGATTTTCCATGTCATCACAATGGACGGCGACCACAGGAACATTCTTATGGTGGACTCAGAGGATGAGAGCATTAAAATTATTAAAATCCCAGAAAATCTCTTCTATCCTTGGCGGAGTGTGATACCTAGAGAATGGAATTCAAATCTGTCTTTTTTCCCATCACACCACCGTGATGGAAATCAAATCGAAATCTGGATTCTCATGAATAGCAGCAATAACGAGTGGGTTAATTTTAAAACCCAGGCTACAGTCGATCTTGCATCTACTCTTACCCAGGATTATCCAATGTCATACATCACAAAGAAACATGTAGCAGCATGGAAGTTGAGTGGGGATATATTTTGGCGTTGGCATGAAAGCGTATATCTTCCATGGGTTATGAAGGAGGAACTAAGCATTAAACCCTCAATTTTGCAGTTAAAAGGAATGCAATCAGGAAAGGTGGATGCCTAGGAGGAAATATGATCACCTTGCAAATTATTTATGTAATTTCCCTCACACTTAGAGATCCTTTCTTAATCACCAAAATACAAACTTTCCTAAGAGGAAAAATTATTATTTCATATTTGATATAATTTTTGACCTATGAAAGTTTGGATTTATTTTTTATTTTTTGGAGGTCTACCAAATGTATCTATCCTTTTTGGCGTATAGTTTATTAATATTATTTAGTTATGTTTTTTTTTCTTTTTTAATGTTTATATATAAAACAATGATGCAAGGACCTTGTGGTCTAATGACGACATTTGGGTTGGACTCTCATATGAGAGGAGGTTATGAGTTTGAGCCTAGTGGAGATGTTATTTGGCTCCAAAGTAGGTTACTTACAACATTGTAATAGAGTCTCTTTGATAAAGTAGTTATGAACCGATACAACATTGTATGAGTTTGAGCCAAGACCTTGTCGTCTAATGACGACATCTGGGTTGGACTCTCATATGAGAGGTTATGAGTTTGAGTTATGAGTTTGAGCCTAGTGGAGGAGTTATTTGGATCCAAAGTAGGTTAATTACAACATTGTAATAGAGTCAGTAGCATTCAAAAAAAAATATAAATTTTAGGCCAGGTCAGCTTCCACGATATATAATTTTCAAATTTTAGGCCAGGTCAACTTCCACGATAATTTTCAGCCATTCTCCTTCAATTTTTCTTTAGTGCGATCACTCCCATCGTGTTTTCCTTCAATTCTGCTGTGAATTTCATCATATTCCGTTAACATATTAGTTAATAGTTTTTGTTTTGTACATATAATATGATAGCTACATGTACGGTGTCAACTGACACCAACTGAAGGTAAAAGATCTATAAAAACAAACTCCAGAAATTTTAACTTCCCGCCCAATTCCTACAAAATCTCTCTTCCCAATAAAATATATTGATTTCAACTTTCCCATTCGTACAATAATTCTGGGTAAAAATTCTATTCTAAAATTATAAAATAGTGTAATACAACTCCTATTGCAATCTATACTCTATACTATATATAAAAACAAACTCCTGAAATTTTAACTTCCCGCCCAATTCCTACTCCTGAAATTTTAACTTCCCGCCCAATTCCTACAAAATCTCTCTTCCTATTAAAATATATTGATTTATACTTTCCCATTCGTACAGTAATTCTAGGTAAAAATTCTATTCTAAAATTATAAAATAGTGTAATACAATTCATATTGAAATCTATACTATCTATACTCTATACTATATATACAAACAAAATCCTGAAATTTTAACTTCCCGCCCAATTCTACAAAATCTCTCTTCCCAATAAAATGTATTGATTTCTACATTCCCAATCGTATAATAATTCTGGGTAAAAATTCTATTCTAAAATTATAAAAGAGTGTAATACAATTCCAATTATAATCTATATCTATACTATCTATCTATACTATATATAAAAACAAAATCCTGAAATTTTAATTTCTACAAAATCTCTCTTCCCAATAAAATATATTTATTTCTACTTTCTCATTCGTACAATAATTCTGGGTAAAAATTTTATTCTAAAATTATAAAATAGTGTAATACAATTCCTATTGCAATCTATATCTATACTATATATAACAACAAAATCCTGAAATTTTAACTTCCCGCCCAATTTCTACAAAATCTCTCTTCCCAATAAAATATATTTATTTCTACTATCTCATTCGTACAATAATTCTGGGTCAAAATTTTATTCTAAAATTATAAAATAGTGTAATACAATTCCTATTGCAATCTATACTATATATAAAAACAAAATCCTGAAATTTTAACTTCCCGCCCAATTCCTACAAAATCTCTATTCCCAATAAAATATATTGATTTATAATTTCTCATTCGTACAATAATTCTGGGTAAAAATTCTATTCTAAAATTATAAAATAGTGTAATACAATTTCTATTGCAATCTATACTATATATAAAAACAAAATCCTGAAATTTTAACTTCCCGCCCAATTTCCTACAAAATCGCTATTCCCAATATCTCTCTTCCCAATAAAATATATTGATTTATAATTTCTCATTCGTACAATAATTCTGGGTAAAAATTCTATTCTAAAATTATAAAATAGTGTAATACAATTTCTATTGCAATCTATACTATATATAAAAACAAAATCTTAGAAATTTTAACTTTCCGCCCAATTCCTACAAAATCTCTCTTCCCAATAAAATATATTGATTTCTACTTTCACATTCGTACAATAATTCTAGGTAAAAATTCTATTCTAATATTATAAAATAGTGTAATAAAATTCCTATTGCAATCTATACTATATATAAAAACAAAATCACGAAATTTTAACTTTCCGCCCAATTCCTACAAAATCTCTCTTCCCAATAAAATAAATATATTGATTTCTGCTTTCCCATTCGTGTAATACTATATATAAAAACAAAATCCTGAAATTTTAACTTTCCGCCCAATTCCTACAAAATCTCTCTTCCCAATAAAATATATTGATTTCTACTTTTCCATTCTAAAAATTCTATTCTAATATTATTATAAAATAGTGTAATACAATTCCTATTGTAATTTTAACTTCCCGTCAATTCTATTCTTTTAAGTTGTAAATTGTCAAAAGTTCGGTAAGGCATAACTTTTGACTCGGTTGTCCGTTTTGGAAAAATATTTTTTGAAATCGCGTATTTTTTTGAGATCTATCCACCGCGAACTGCCGTAGGCGGTTTGGCCCACCAATTTCTAAAAAATACTTTATTAAATAGTTTTTAAGAAAAAACTATGAGAACCTTATGTTTTATTAATGAATTTTTAAATTTTTTAATTAAAAAATTATCCCGTGCATTATTTCATAATCTCTCATTATAATTGGTCAAATTATTTAATTATGGTAAATTAAGGAATAATTATTGATGGTAATAGAAATCCGAAGAATATTTTTTTGAAAATTATATGTTGCCTCATTAAAAATAGGCCAAAATAATGTCTGGTGGGAGCAGATCCCAATACATAGCAGCAGATTGCTGGTAAGCCGTAGTAGCTAAAGCATTAGCTAAATAGTTATCTAATCTAGGAATTAAATGTACCAAGCCACGTTGAAAGTTAAATCAAGTTAAATTTTTTTTTTCAACTTAAGTTTATTTTTAATTTATCCTTTTTAACAAATAAATTAATATATAAAAAAATATATTATTAAAAAATTTGTGGGTTAAATAAGTGTTCTGTTAAGACTTTAATATTAGAAAAAATTTGAAGAATGTGGACCATTCATTTGAATTAATAAGGACGACCATTTTTTCTACCCATTATTCGCCTAAGGCTGAACTGATGCTCACTGCGCACAAGAAGACACCTTGCTCCCACACTGCCGCTAGTGAGACTCGATCCCTGGTCATATTCCAAAATTTCATCTCTATGACCAGTTGAGCTACCCATGCGGGCTTCTTTGACTTTTATTAGTATAGTAGATAGTAGATAGTAGATATGACTTTTATTAGTATAGTAGATAGTAGATAGTAGATAGTAGATAGTAGATTTTTGAAAATAAATAAAAAGGACCTTATATTAAATAAAAAATACATTACATTAATAATAAACGAAGGCGCTTTCAAAAAAAAAATAATAATAGAAGATGGTGGGGTGACATGTCGTTCCTTATAATCATCGACCATATGACCTCCCATTTGGGAGATTCGTGGCACTATACTACAAGATCATTAGCAGAGATGTCATAGTTTAATGAAATTTTTCTAAAGATATATATATACCAAAATTTGAAAACTTAATACTTCAAAACAAAATATAAAAGAGAAAATGGACGAATATGCCTTAAACTTTATATATATAACTAGTATTTCTTATGTGTGATGCGTAAAAATTAGGTGCCAAATATTAATATTTTATATTAAAATTTTAAATTTATTTAGATTTTAGATATTTAAATTATTTTAAATAATAATAATAATAATAATAATAATAATAATAATAATAATGTAAAACATTTCTATAAATTTAATATTTATATTTTAAGAAATAACTAACATATAACCCCAATATATAATGTTTATATATATATTTTTTGAAATAATATATTGTATATTATTATTGTGATGATTATTATTATTATTATTATTATTATTATTATTATTATTATTATTATTATTATTATTATTATTATTGAAAATAAGAAAATATATGTTGGATGCATGTGCATGGTAGCAATAGTGGAAAAGATAACGGAAGTCTCAGACTTTTTGTGTTTTTCTCAATTTTGTCCTCCGTTTGTTATTCCATCCATTTGGGGTTAAATAGAGGAACAATTCAGTATTTCAAATATTGACATATCTTTACTCATAGACCTGTGAACTGTGAAATCTCTCTTTCTTTTATAAATTACTCCCAGAATTACTCATAAACTTGCGAATATAAAATTTGATTAACAGGTCTATGAGTAATTTTGAGAGTAATTCGTAAAAGAAAGAGGGATTTCGCGATCAATATATATTGAGATTACAAAATTGTCCATTTATTTAATACTAATTTGACAGAATAACAAACAGAGGACTAAATTGAGCAAAAACACAAAAGTCTGGGACTACATTAGGTCACTAAAATTGTTTAGGACGAAATTGAGAAAATCTACTATAGTCGATGATATTTTGGATATTAACTCTTTTTGAAAATAAACAAAGGATCTTATATTAAATAAAAAATACATGAAATTAATAATAAAAGAAAGTAGTGCGACATGTCACTCCTTATAATCTGACATCTATCAAAATTGCTGCTTTCCAGGTAATTACTTTTTTTTTTTTTTTTTCCGACTGCAATGAGGCTCAAATCCACAACCTCTCATATAAGAAAGCAACTTGGTGCTTCCATTATTTTATTATAGTTTAATGAAATATTTCTAAAGATATATATACCAAAATTTGAAAACTTAATACTTTAAAATAAAATATAAAAGATAAAATGGTCAAATAGACCTTAAACTTTACCCCCCCCT